GCAAAAATCGCAAAACTCATTTTCCAGTAAGAATGCTTTTAACACAAATTTCCTCACCGTGCCATGCCTCGTCCTCTTGTAGCTTCACCTGCTGGTCCTTGATAGCCGTCCTCGTATCCCGCGTAATTCTCATATCCATGATGCTCATCATAACCACCTTGGCTCGCATCGTATCCTTCGGAGCCATGTTCACCCCAGCCATGCGCTACACCATCATGGTGACCTGAAAAGCACTTTCGGAATCTTCTGTAAACTGTACCAGACCCCATAACTCAAGATTCATTGGGTAAACAAAGAGATGCAACTGATTCTTTTCAATAGAAACTAATCAGTATATGAAGATGCAAACTACACTAATTTTAAAAGCAAGAGCCTAACAGATCCCCTCGAATGGAGACATACATTTCTCAAATTCAAATAGAGGATGTAGTAACTTTTCAAGTAATCAACACCTGTGTCTGTATGAACGTCATTCTGATAAGCTTCGTGGCCGTTGTAGCCTGTCGTGACGTCATGCCCAACGCCCATCTGGGCGTGATCGCCACCAACTGGCGCAGTATGATCAGCTAGAAGAGAAAAAATCCATGAGAAAGAAGCAGTAAATAGGTACAATTACGAACGAGTGATTTTGCAAACTTTAAAATCTGATGAGATTGGGTGACTTTAAAATGAGAAAGAGTCTGATATTAAAAGCGAAACGTAACTATCTTTTATGCAAATTATCACTGAAAGGATGGGTCAGAATAAGAGTACATTTCAGCGTATGTTAAGCGACAGCTCCTTACCTGCACCATCATCAGGACCTCCATGCTGATTGTTATGATATCCTTGATGCATGTTTGGGTCCATATGGTGAGCTTCGGAATGTCCGTAGTTTTGATCTAAACAGTGGATATTCGATGTCAATAATGAAATCTTAAACTAGTTTGTTAAAGATCCAGGTGAATTTCCAAACTCAGAACACACATATAAGATAAAATGGATTGGGAAAAACCGGTACTTGTGAGAAATCTCGAAGCCCATAACCAAAACACCTTTTCCCTCTTGAATGCGAACTCAAACGCGCATAAGTCGACTACAACAAGATGGTTACTATTTGGTGCGACAACTTTCTTATTTCACCCGTTTTAGATTTTAGTTATTCATTGAAGTAGATAGCTTGAACT